CTGCAGATCTTTCTCAGTTGACTACAGTTTTACAGCGAGATATAGAAGGTAAATCATACTTATTTTCACAATGTCCACCAGTCTTGGTCCCATTATTATGCTCTGAGGTTTAGTGGCTGTTCCTCGATATGAAACAAACTCGCTTAATAAAAAGCCAGTGAGGGAACACAGAGTAACAATTCGGAGAGGGACTGGGAGGGTTAATCTAAAGCAGCAATCCACAGGCATCCCAAACCATCAAAATAGAAGTTTTCGAGATACAAAGAGCGAAAATACATTTTATGTTTCTCTTGGTCTCTTATCGTCATTTCCTGATGTCATGACAATATTCGACAAATGTAATATTCAGTTCCTACCGTATATACTTTGCCGTTACAATTTCTCATGTATTGCTACTTTCCTAAATAAACGGATCGGACAATAAAAAATACATTTCGGTAGTTTGGTCCACTTTGGCCTCGTTATCACCCCCCCCTCATAAAATCCTGGTTACGGGCCTGTGACCCTATATAAAAATGACACCAGGGACAGTCTACAGACACCATACATTTTTTATCCACATCTTGCATTGCTGTCTCAGTGTCATCTCGCACTTACTTAGTTCTTTTTGTAATCACGAAAAAGTAAATAGCATCTCGCATGTATTTAGAAGGCTTCTTAGCTAGACTCGGCTTTAGGATCAACAAACTTCCGCAAAAAACGTATTCTTCAGTGATCAACATTTCTGCATTTATTTATCAAATGGTACACGTCTCTACGACTTTAAAAGCATTAAACAAATGTTTGTGATCAAGTAAAACTGAAAACAAACTGTAACAAAAACGACGTCTCTGTCAGTTACTATCATCAGATCTAGTCTCCCTTTCTTCCAGTTTATTTCAACATTTCCGGTGAAAGTATATTTTTAGCCCGACTCCTATAAGGATCAATAAGGATCAATTTCCTGCTAGGAACCAGTCGCTCGCAGCCGAAATTAAAGTAGTAAAGACTCCAAAAAGCAAATAAATTACTGCTGATTGCGCGGAAACTGCTTTTTGCGACACCAAAGGCAAAAACGAAAGGTTTCAACCGGAAGTGGAAGACATCTGGCAAAGAGACTAGGAATGAATGCCCTGCTAACTGGTTTACAAAGTTTACATAGTAAACATCAATGTGTTCCCTTAAAATCAAAATATTAAATAAATATAGGTAGCTAAAAATGCCATAATCTCATATAGGCCAGTATGTTAACGAAAACTTTGAATTCTCCCAAAAGAACTTTTTCATCAGACCTGAGATAATGAAAGATGTATTGTGTTAGCAAAATATCCGCGTTTTCACAATTTTTTTTTTCAATCCCTTGATAGTTAGAGAATAGCTAATTAGAATTTACCTAGATGAGATATTGTTCAAAATAAATACTTGCTGGTCTTAAATAGTTGTGCCTGTTTTTAGGAAGACCTCCCTTTCGTTGCCTGCACGATACACAGGAGGCTTAACAGCAACCAGTGCCGTTGATTCGGGAGAGAAACCAAACAACATCAATGTAAGGTCTGACCAGGGATTTTTTTCTCCAAAAACTGAAGAATATTAAACATCGTTTCAGGTTCCGCCCGTGCACCCTAAAGGATCAGAATCAAAACCAACAATCTTAAACCTTGCCGCTAAAAGACACCCAGAATCCTTGTTTTAATTAACGTGTTTGAAAAAATAAACTTTCCAGTTCCTTGAATTCCATTTTTCCATTATTAACGTGACGTTTAAATGGCTGAAGCGGACGTCTGTTCTTGAATCACTCAGATTTATGATGTGATAACCAGATTCTTCTCAAGTCTTTCCATAGACAGACCTATGAGAAGTCATTACATCAAGCCTAGTCAGGACATCGCCTTTGTCTTTCCTAGCAACCTCAGCAGTCCTCATAACTTTTCCTGACTTTTGTCTCTTTTTAAAGTGATGCTGAAATAAGTAGGTACTAAAAACGAGTCTGTATACAATAATAACTAGAGGCTCCTAGGTAATTTAGTTTGAGAGTAAAGCTGGTCAGCCATAGAAGTCAGTATCAACGCTCACTGCAGTTGTATGCCATGAAATTCCGGTTATAATCATCCCTCTACTTTTAAAGGCCTATGATTCATCTGCATAGCCGGAAACGAGCAACGCATCAGTCTGCCTCCTTTTCTTTTTTCATGGATGCTGGGAATTCAAAATCAGCTGAAGTCATCGGGGCGGCCGAGAAATAAATCCATCAACAGGTCAGAACGGTGCTCGAAACCAGGCCATCGAACTGCAAGTCCGACCAGCCGGATCATTAGGCGGCCTCGCTGCCTGTTAGGGTTAGGGTTAGGGTTAGGGTTTGAAATCAAGCAAGGAAATGGAAATGTTTTAAAATGCTACTGAATGTCCTTGTCTAGTGTTTCATTTCTAAACATTTTCTAATGCTGCTTTCAAGCCCACCCTGATCGACATAAGCCCCCGCCCGTTTACAGCCTACTTAAGGACCCTTAAGAAGTCGTATAAGCCTAGAGCTCGGTTATAACCGGAATTTTAGGCATCTTGTCGACTAGGCCCGAATTCCACAGCTCTCTCGGGTCCTGTATTGTTCCTCCCCGAAGAGACTGGGACGGAGGAGTGCGGGCTCATTTCCCGGACAGCGCCGGAAAATCGAGCCTAGTTGTTACCTCAGTGACAATTTTCTTGACCTGAACGACCTCTAAAATAGTTGATCTAATCTCACCTGCTGCAAGCATGATATTTACAGTCTTGGTAGTCAAATTTTAAAATCTACCTGTTGTCATGTATCTTCAATGCAAATATATTGCTTACGATTTGAATTTTAAGCTATTTAAAATGTAATCTTGTAAAATATAGCAGTAACGTAAACATGATTTTTTGGTTGGCTTTTGTTATTTCTAGTGTAACAGAAGAAATATATATATTTTTTAGGAAGGTACAAACAGGAAGCCATAACAAGGGCACTCCTAAAACAAATATCAAATAAGTTTATAAATCTTATCAAACTATTTTGGAAAAGAAAACGTCTTCTAAACAAAGTTTGCAAAGATTAAGCAAGCAAATCATGACCAGGTCTGCATTTTTTAGTTAGTTTTCTTAGGTTTTCCTACTAAAATACCCCAAGTAAAAAATATAGCGTATGAATCACAAATCATCATTTCCAAGCAACACCATACACTATAAAACACTACTCCCTGGAATAAGAGCATTTCATTTTTATCAAAATTCTCCAAAGCTTCTGCTATGAACAAGTAGCAATAAAAAACGCATTATATATTTGACAAGTCTCGTAGCCAAATCTACAAAAACCTACGGACACCAGTGGCATCTGGGTACCATAAGGTATAGAATAGTTTAAATAAGTCATGAAAACGAGGCAAAAGTTTAATTCTGCATTGTAATAAGTTATTAACCTCGTTTGCATGTCTTTTCAAACAAGAGAATGTGTACCGCAGGCTCAAACCTGTAAGTACCCTTAAAGTCAGCTGTTTAACAACGATTATTATATTTCAAATTCTTAATGTCCAGTCAGGAGTAAAAATACCATCTAAAACGGTAAAAGGTTTCTAAAAACAAGTACAAAATTATGGGGCCACAAAAGTTCAGGACCGTTCCGAACGGTCCTGAACTTCTGAGAATTTGACGAAGAATTGCTTAATGACATGGTCATATTGAAAATGACAGAAACCCAAAACAGGCTGATTCAGTAACGAACACTCAGCTGAACAAGTTTTGCAAATTGATTTTCAACCTTCGAACTTTTTGTCCACGAGCCAGATTAAATTGAAAAGCTGTATAACAAACATTAAATAGAATTACGGACTGAGAAACTTTGTCAAAGCCATGAAGTACTGTATTATTCCTGCAACAAGAACACAAAACACAGTGTTTTTTGGCAGGCATGTCTAGCTAAACAAATCTGGTTAGACTGAAGAAAATTCTCCACTTTTGAGTTGACAGAGCCTGTGTGTAAACTGGTCTGCAGGTTATGTTGTCGTGTTTTTGTAGATTCACCTTTACAAAGGCTGACGGTTCGGCTCACTTGATAGACAATGACGTACTTATCTTGCCAACGCCAACAAAATTCATTTTCTCTGGCTCGGAAAAGCTGATCCTCTTGCGAGAAACTTCGGGAGGAAACTAGAAAATTAAAAAGCATAACACAACACCTTAGAATTCGATAAAAAGTAATAATAAAAATCATTTTAGGCATGGGCATTATTAAAACGATATTATGAACGATAATGGACTCTCATTCGTGCGACACTGTGGACTATGGACTCCTTACGAATATCCAACCGGTACATTTGTCAAAACAAACATGGCTCGATTAAATATTATATTGTCAGTGTCGACTTTTTTATTCTTCTTGGCGCTCGTTGAAGACTGTCAAAGCCGCCGGCCGACACTGTCTAAAATAGGCCATTGAGTCTTGATTATTAGTAACAAGACAGCACATAAAAAAAGTCTGTAAACGGTAAATAGAGGGCTTCCCACTCAATCTTGGAAGTCAACCATCGCATAATTGAGAACACAAAGTAAGGAGAATTGAAAACGAAGAAGTGCGTAATAATTAAGCCTTCGGGTTGGCCAAGGCTTAAACGATTTCGGATATATGGTGTATACTACGTTTCCATTAGGTTTAAATTAAATATAATGAGAAAAAATGGGTGTTTTTTTGGCATATCGGCTGAACTATTTCGGGTGCAATGGTGTTTTGCTAGTAGACCCCTCGCCTACCCTTAAATCTAGACCGAAGTCTGTCTCAAAATCATTTCGACTTACATTTTGTTGTTGAAGAAACTCTGCGATCTTGCTAAATCCCGGTCGGTCACGTGGTTCATCACTCCAGCAATTGCTGATAAGTTGCTGCTCATACAAAAAATGTGAAAAATCAGACCAACAGTGATAGAATCATGGTTAACAGTAGCAGGAAAATGATAAATCTAGGAACATTTTTGCATTATTATATAAAAAATCAGTTCAAATGTTAAGTTTTGAAACCTGAGAGCCATGCAAGGTTACTTCCCTTGTCTACGTATCAGCGTTGTATGTTGTCCTCAGAAAAAGACTTTCTTTCCTCCTTTTCTTTCTTGTAATATGGTTTTATTGTTAGAGCTTTTCAGAGCTCCATTTCTTAAAAGTTCTATTACTAAATAGAAGTAATAATACAATCCCCTAGAATATGATGTGCCAGCTAAATATTGTTTTTCAGTTAAGACTTTTCATGCGATCAGGTGATCATTTGAAGAACATGGGAAGACTGGGGCGGGACCGTTGGCCGGATCACAGGTTATTTCATAGCGTAACATACCTTTAGAGATTCGGGGCATTGAACATGCATGATACACTGTTGCTTTCCCTTGCCAATCATCCATATCACAGAATGAGTGGGATAAAAGCTGAAAGGCCACTTGCCGGTCAGAATCTCGTACAATATTGTACTGCGTTGGAATAAAAGGCATACGTTAGCCTTTGTGGATATTAATTAGCCTGTGTGCAGCCGCATGCTCCCCTCAGAAAAAATCCGATTTTTTCGGAGGGGAAGCTGCACACAGGCTAGAAATTAATATGCAGAATAACGTGTTCCAGAGGAATAAAAAACGCAGTCGAGTTTAATGACACATTAAAAAGAAATGGCATGAGAATATCGCATATTCATGCTTGGAATTTATCATCTTTATCTCAGTATTTTTCACCATATGGGGTACTTTAAAACTGAATTGCTGATCCTAGTGACGCAAGCCTAGTAAATAAACGGCTTAAGAGTCGAAGAAGTTTCCATGATATCAATATTCTTTTTAGAGAATTCGTTTTTTTCTCACGGTTTTTACTTTCTCCTAATAAAACCCAACTCTTCTCACTTTTAAATCACTGCCGTCAATTTGCTTGAAAGTTAGTACACCTCCCCCCCCGCCCCGCCCCCAAAAAATCATGGTACTGAGTGACAGCCTCACCTGAACGCATACACGTTTGTACATTCTGTATTCCTCTCCCTCGGGGACAGTACACTACCATTTCTTATGAGCGTGCGCATCAGCTCTGGAGCAAGGTAAGTCAGGTGACCTTGTAATATACTTGCGTACCCCTCCCTGCAAAAAAAATTTTCCGAAAACCAAATATTCAGATAAGTTACTCTTAGGCTGGCTCTGGTTCGTTGAGGAACAGAGTGTTAAAGTTTGCTTATGGAGCTCACAAGAACCTTCAGCAAAGCTCACAAGCACCTGCTTAATTTCACAAAGAAGAAAGTAGAGACAAGAAATTAAAAATGAGAGTAATTATTAATTTACCTTTCATCTCGTGTTGTTTTGTTGCAGTAACCAGACACGCAAAGTTTGACTTTGGATTCCAGGAACACGTTCATGGTTGTCAAGGCTGGAAGGACAATACCTTTGGCATGAAGGTAGCTCATGCCCTAATAAGGAAGTAACAACAATAAACAAGCATCAATTTACTGCAGGCATGTACTGAAGAATACTTGGCTATAACCACGTCAAGTATTCATGGCGTATCGCTAAAAATGATTAAGCTTTAAGAGAAACAATTTTGCCAGTTCTGACTGATTTAATACTTGCATTCTGCTCTAGTGAACTAATACTTATTCTAGCTGCGAAACTGCAGAATATCTCTCAGTGATAATCCTACTTTGCAGGCAATTACTTGACTACTTATTGAAACCTGAAATCCAGCGTTCATATGGACTACGGTTACCCAGTTTTTTAATCAACCGATGTCTGAAAATACGATCTGGGATCACATGATCAAAACAAAAAATAACAACAGCTGAGAGCTGAGATACAAACCTGTGCGATTTGCTTGGCGATTGAGATCTTCGAGTGCAAAGAAAACAGGTCCTGTCGAACATGAAGGTGGTTATAGAGGGACAAACCTCTTCTGACGCTAAAAGGAATGAAAATACAAAAAGGTGATTCGACAAAGCAAAATCCACCAAGCATATTGGTTTTTGAGGAAAGCACATGATATTATTATTTAAAATCGACTGATCGTTAATTTTCTAGGTCCCGAAGTTTTGCTTTCTTACGACAAAGCTCATGAACATCAGAATTTCTTATAAAACACTTGAAGTTGCAACTCCTTTTGTTTATCTCTCTGAAGTTAAAATCGTTCAAAAGGTGGGTTTGATCATAGTTAATAAAGCGCAATGGTTATATATCCTTTATACTTGTTTGTTATGAGATTGACCAGCTTCTTTGAACTTGACCGTCCGCAACGTTCAATAGCATTCCTATCGCTTTTAACTAACTGACCAATAAAAACCAATTAACAGGCTTGCTCAGTCACAAGTTGTAAGTGAAAGAAAAAAAGAGGGAAGGAAGGAAGAAACAAAAGACAGCGCACGGTCACGGAGCTTCCAACATAACTGACTACAGCCATTCGTTTCTAGTCTTTCTCGTTCACTGCTTGATTAACACACTCGGCCTCATGCTCCCGGTCATGAGACCGTCCTTTATTTATTTCTTATTTTTTTTCCTCTTTCTCTTTTTTTATACGTTATTCCTTCGTATTTTTGTTACTCTGCCTTCGCCGTTCAGTTAAATTAATATTAAGTTAATCTTTTGTAATTTAATAGTGAAAGCCCACGTTGTATAAACCTCATGGTTTCTTTGGGCTTTCAGGCAGTTTTCTAACGATTCTTGTAATCTATTACTATGTTATAATAAGGTGGCGAAATAAATAAAAATAGAAAAGTAACTTGAACTTGTTATTAGAACCTCTCTTTCAGAGAGAGAGAGGACTCTGGGGAAAATTCTAGCGTGCACTTGACGTACCTTGTTATAACCGCAAGGTTGGGAGGTTCCAAACAAGCTCCCATAAAAAGTACAACGTTTTCATGTCTGATCATGCTCAGTACGGAAACTTCCTTTAGGAAATCCTCTACGTCCTGCTTTGTTGATCTTTGCCAAGTATGAATCATGATATCACCATGCCATCTTCCCCTAATAACAACAACACATTTTCCTTTATTGTTATGCAGTCCAATGAAATCTTCAGTTAAACATCTTTGAAAGATATCCGCATAGTATATAAATGTGCTACCTGAGAGTAACTTCCCCTTTAGAAAGGCGTCCAGCTTAAACTAATATTACTTTTCGTAATTTTTTTAAAGTTTACTTCAGCGAGGGGTAACATTCGTATCGATATACTTTTTAGCATCTCAAGTTTCCCTCAAAGTTTTTTTGGGGGGGTGGGGGAGGGGGAGGGGGGAATGGGCTGGGACAATGGAGTAGATTAACGAGTTCTTGATAAATGATAGTGCCAGCATGAGGCCCCTTGTCTCTCCGTTAAAACAAATATGTTTCTGACATCAGTAATTATTCTGTTGTTCTAGTTTTCAAATGCCATATAATTACACTATCAGTAGGGAAATATCGCTTGCAATTTAGATAAAGAAAAAGGGATTTTAATTTGGATCGAGCATTTGGTTAACCTGGCCTTTTGTCTCAAGAAGTTGACCGCATACCGTAAAGAGGCTGGAGTCTAATTCTATGTTTACTACATACTTGTAGACTTTTCTTTTAAGACCGACTCCTACAATTTCCCCAAACTGCAAATCTGAATAAGGAATGCTCCATTCTCGAAGTGATTTCTACGGAAAAAAAACAATACTTCACAATTACATCCAGCTTGTGGCTACTGATGCAAGAAAGACTGAAATTCATGTCGATTCTTACGACCGCCGCCTGGTTAGCTCAGTTGGGAGAGCGTCTGTCTGCTGAGCGGGAGGTCACGGGTTCGAATCCCGGCCGGACCAACATTCAGGGTCTTTAAATAACTGAGGAGAAAGTGCTGCCTTTGTAATGACATCTACAAACGGTTAGACTTTCTAGTCTTCTCGGATAAGGACGAAAAACCGTAGGTCCTCTCTCACAGCACTTACACTTATCTGGTTCTCGTGGGACGTAAAAGAACCCACACCACTGTTCGAAAAGAGTAGAGGACGTAGACCCCGGTGTTGTGGTCAACCTTCACACTTCACATCATTCACATCATGGGTTGGGTGGGTACAGTAAGCTCACAAATGGACTGGGAGCGGCTGCCAGTGGCGCCTTTGTATGCTGACGTACGAGCTTACTGTTCACACGTTACAAATGTATTGTAAGAGGGCACGTCTGTTGTCCTCTCATCCACGACTCTTCACGTCCTAGGCCTTATCTTAGTACGACCGACAGAACAGAACGAGATTTGCAAATTTGCCTACCTTAATGTCATCTTCGTTCGGCTTTTCTCCTTTTAACCTGCAATAAATATGTTTAGGTTTCATGTTATGCTAAGAGATGATCGCACATAAGAAGAAAGAACTAAAGAACAGATAAGGAACAGCTAAGAAGACTGCGATGAGCACATGTATCACTTATAACTGCGAAGTTTCGTCTCGTATTAAAAACTGAAGTTAGATAATCCTCAGCTTAGCTCTCGTATGGTAATGAAACCGAAACCAATTGTGGATCTAGATTCATTTTTATAGGCTGTCCACTGTTTAACAGATACGATATTCAGATATCTTCAGCAACGTCAATTATTTGCAGTCCGTTCCTTTCGAATTGCGAAAGTCGTTGGCAAGTCAAAACAAATTGAAAGTTTATTTTTTTAAGTCCGCCGAACTTCGCTGGGCTTGTCTTTGACACCAATTTAAATTTCGCAACAGCAAATAGAAATTGCAAAAATAGACTTGTCAAGATTCGAGACCCAGTGCGTGACTATCCTTATAACAATAATAATAATAGCAAAACCTTTATTTATTCTGCAGGGTGAATCAGTCTACAGCTGGTGTTAACTCACGTGAGGCATAAAAATTAAATGAAAAATAATTTATTCAGTTATCACAGCTAAATAAAGATCAAATCAGACTCATCACCACCGTCTGTAGTCTGAATTGCCTTCTTCGAGTGCTCCCCACCCCAGGCCCCACCTCTATTTCCCTCTCTCTTTCAAAATTCGGTTGATTTGCTTTGAAGAAGGCATGGTGGAGGTGATTTAAAAAACTCTTCAGCAATATGGGAAATGGCACTTTAAAAGCGTAAAAATCTTCACCTTTTTAACATTAGTTTTCATCAGCCCTAGCTTTCCCTTTTTTTGTACCAAATTTTACATCGTATATTTCGTGTTTGAGAAAAAAAAACTGGCATAATATAATAGAGTGATGGTAAGACGAAAGGAAAATAAATTTAACCTGCGAAAATGTTAAAAAATAATATATATTAAGCTCTTCTTTCCTGGAAATGACACGTTTTGGTCTATTTCAGAAAATAGAATTCATATCACAGTGTAATCTAACTTGGTTTGACGTGATCCTGCTTGCTTTTGAGCAATAGTTCAGTACTGCTAATTGTTTGTACGTGCTCACCTGCTATCGACTGTGGGAAGGGCTTCGTGATCTCTCGATCCTTGAAAGCCATCAGCTACCAAAACAGAATTTACGCAAATGACATGAGATGAGATGAATAAATTCAAAGTCCATAAATTTTGACATGCATAAAAATAAGTGAATATTTACAAAGTCAATAAATTTCACTTTGTCATATCGTGTATCACATGAGATCGCTATAGATTTAGACAGGAATATACGTTGTAAGGTTATTTTTATCTCTTAAACGACACTATCGAAATAGCATACATAGGGGATGACTTCAACAAAATTTATCCCGTTTGTATTTGCGTGAGAAGGATACGTCATTGGGCCTAATAATAGTCATTTTTAATTGGCTATTAGCGGTGCTAGTGGCATATATGGTAAATTGAAAAAAGCTATGACGTCAAGCTGAGCAAACTTAGCCAGGGGAAAAGCATCTAATCTAGACAACATGGCTAAATCAGCAGCTCTCTTGCTCCATATTACTCGTAAATATTTGTTTACTTGACATGGGCCCACAGATATTTTCAGAACCACAAATTTAGGCGTATAAGGTTTACTCACGTTACAAACGGCACGTACTATATTCAGTCTATTTTAGACCTCTTTTTTAAATAAACATCCAAGGAAATTTAAGGGAACAACGCAAAAATAGAAACTAATGGTTGAATTGAACCCGCCTAAGGGATAAGATGAGCAGTCTAGATCACATCTGAAAAATATGATTGGTTTAGTCTCAACAGTAGTTTCAAGCTTTGCGCTTTCTTTCTGATGAATAAAGTCGTGTAATGTCAGTTGTCACAGCTCATTTGCAAAGTATACCACAGAAAAGGAGTGTAAAAAAAGGCTCTCGGGAGATAGAGGACAAACCAACCACACCGTATACTAGAGCGGCGTCACTGTTTCACGTCTTTCACTACTGTTAGCTGTATCAAAAACAAATTTCCCTTTTCAACTCTAACATGGAAAGATCAGCTTAAAACAGATGCCGGTTTTTGAATATGCAAAGATCGCTAGGTAGAAAATGATGAGTACCCACATAACCAAAGGATGTTTCTATTTCCAATGAGTTAAAGTTTCTCTTAAATCGCGTACATGGAAGTCCTCTCGTTTTCTATGTGTTAATTCTTTTGGTTATCTGCCCAGAGTAACTGTTAACCGGTGTAACTGTTATATGGATCTATAACATTAATGGAGGAAGTGATTGATCTGATATCACTCATATTTTTCCATTTAAATGAAACTTATTAAATACTACTTTCTTAACATAAGCTTTATGTTTCTTTTAGCTTAAAAAGTTAAAGCTGACACTTGTTAAGTAGCTGCCAAATTCACAAAATACGGCAGTGCTATAATTGTATCTTGTTCCGTTCAGTATTGTTTTTTTTTTCTACTTAAGGGTTAAAACTGGACTACTACCGGCTTTACAGTTTTATTTCCGCCAAATAAAAGGAACATATTCTCTCGTTGATTCTTGTTGAAACAGAAGACCAAAGTAAAAGCAAAAGCCTCATTAAATGCTTTTTACTTACCAGAAAAAATCCTTTTGTTTATTTTCTCGGCCTTGTCTTGAACTCTGCTTTTCTGAGGCCATGTTGCAAAATTTTCGTAAGGTTCCACTAAAAATTCGTCGATGAAATGATCCTGTTCAGTAAGTGTTCCCAAATCTCTATCTCCTGAATAGGTATTCTCCCGGGCCGCGCTGTACTGCTCTAAAGTAGTTAAAAGCTTGATATCAGAAAAGTCCGGCGTTGGCGAATTGCTTCGGTGTGAATTAGCTGAAGAAGGGCAAGATGTGTTTGCCGAAGAATATCCCGAGGAATATGAGCAGCTTGCTGAAGTAGACCACGAGTTTGTTCTAGGCCAAATCGAACTTCCCAAGTAATTTTCACTGTTCGTTGATCGAGGAGATCCAATAATTGATTCATCTATGGTGGTTAAATTTTCACAAACATGAGATGGATACGATTTTTCAGGAGTAGGATGTCTTTCTACAGATAGTGTTAGCTGTCTTGAAGCTCGAAATTCTTCCGCATCTTTAGGCTTAAACTCCAGAGCCTGTCTAGGACTGTAGCAAAATGACTCATACAGACCATTTATAAGTTTTTGTCGTATTCTTCCTTTTGCGTTTAGAGTTACGAGAGTTGATTCCGTCCTTTTTCTAGCAAAATGTTGCAAATTTGCTTGGTGCCGTGGCAAGTTTCCACCAGGTTTTTGCCCTTTGCGCCAGAAATGCCTGGTTCTCGTTTTTCCTTCAAACGACCAAAAAAGGCAAAAAAATCAAGTTAATTACGCTCGAAAATAATGAAAAAATTGTGTAATGAGTTACTTTACAACCCAAAATGGAAAGGAATTTAAGAGTAAAATAAATATTAATTGCACCTTAAAAGTTATATTTTGTCTTTTTCTTACCCGCTTCAACTTTGTGGCATCGAAGATCACAGTCGGTTGCCAGAAGATCACTGGAGCATTTTTTGTGATATTTCAACCTTTTGATCAAAACATATCGAGTCTTAGTTAGCGATTTGATTTTTTTTAAAAAAGCTTAGGTTGTCAAGTCTATCCTGCTCTGTTTGTACATTACTATTCATGGTAGACTTAGTAGCACTGAGTTGTTTTTACTGACCTGCAATCCTGGCAGCGCACTCCCAAAAAACGAATCGTCTTTTTGCAATTATCGCATTGGCTTCGACACAGGATAGTCCTCGAGAAACTGCAAGATCAAAAGAATAGAACTAAAATCGCAATGATTGTAAATTTAATTTGACTTCAAATGCGATAGCAGGTGCTAGATGAATTCATGACAATGAGAAGCTTTCCACCGCTTTTAATGAAACTTTTGCATTTCGCTCGTCTACCAGCGATTTGACTCAGAGCAAATCCATCTGCGGAGTAGATCTTTAAAGAATGGTATTGTGACTGAAGATACTTGGAAGTCTTCTCCAAATTCTTCGATACAATGGAGTTTTATGCAAAAACCAATTTTGTGATCCTCGCAAAATCAACATAGTCTCTGGGGTGGTTGTTTTGACCAAAGTGTTCCATCGAGCATCTTCTATTTCTTCTTACCTATGTAAGTCAACTTGCATTGTTTACTCTGCAGATCACGTAGCAAAGAAGTGTATCATGTTTAAAATTTCGCGTGCCAGAAGGAACTTTTTCCTTTGAAAATCACCGGCGAGTGTTGCGTACTGCATCTATAGCTAGCCTCCCAACCTACGAAAATGCAAATTACAGTGATTATGAAGTGATCTCCAGCTGCCACTATTCGACCAATCACAATAAAGCAGCCTTACAAACATAGGCCTGGGGATATTATTCACAATGTATGGCAGTTGTCACCACTGTTTGAACAAAGAGAGATCGGTGGAAGTAAACAAAGGAAAGTCTTTGTAATTCCCCCTTAAAACGCATTCTTCAATAATATCACCTTGGTTTTTAAAAAAGCAGAATAACAAAAACAGCGTCACACCACGGTTTTGGTAAAGGCGGGCCGTGTTAAAACAAGGACACACAAACACCAAAAGACTACATGGAGTTTTTTCATGGCAAATGAGGGAAAAAAACCAAAATGACAAATTACGCGTGGAAGCATTTAAATTAAGGCTGTTTTCTCAGTCCCTCGAATTTACTTTGATTTATTCATTGAACAGTTCAAGGGAGCAATTTCTGTGTCGTGCTATCAGAGTTTTAAACGTGGGCTTTCGCGTCTTTAGATCGCCTAAATTAATAGCCTTACGGCGGAAAATATCTTGGCACTAATTTCCACACAAGTTTTTTTTCTACCACAACCATTTTGGTCGCAGCGGCGAGCAGTAAGCTGTCCTGGTGAAGAGAAATTAAGACAAAGAAAACTTAATGCTTTAGAGGAAGAGCTCTAAACACCAATTATTCCTCCTTCTTTTAGGTGTTCCTTTGAATGACATTGAATAAGTGACGGCTAGCTCAACTGGCCATTATAAATCATTCTCAGTTACCATGTGCTGTCATACTCTATTGAATAGATAATCTTAATTGTATTCCGCGGGCTGCTTTCATTCATTGCTAACGGCATTTAAGGGAGTAGCCAGCAAATATTTTTGGCAATGACGAAAAAGCAAGCAAGATTAAAGGAGTTCATTTATTTTAATTTTGGAGAAAACTAATTGGTTGTGGTTGGAAGGCGAGTTGTCGTTGAGTAAAGATAGCTGTAGCTTTCTGGCAATTGCGGTAATTCTCACCGCAGGCAGAATACAGCCATGTATCTTCTCTTATTTTCATGGAAACGGTGATTATTTCAAAAGCGAGTTATCTGATTGAATACCGGTAGTTTCACAGAGATACCCTTAAAAAGGTATTGAATATTCACGGTCGTAGTTTTGTCGTTTAGGAGCTCCGTGATATGCAAAATACGCTGTTTTGCCATAAATGTCGGTCGTCTATTTACAAAATAATCGCAAAACTACTATTTTTTTTAATTCGCACAAAATAAAACTTTGGTGCAATGAAATCAAACCTAAACGATAGTATGTTGTCTATAGTAATGTGGCATGAGTTACTGAAATACGTTTGTCAGCACGGCCAGCCTGATTTTACTAGTGCATCCCTTCTGTAGCCTTGGTGCGTAATTATCATTTATATACATATTAATAACACAATTATTTCATATCGTTTTCTTTTCTATAATTCTCCCTAAAGAACAATTAACACCAAAAAGATTTTCCTAAACTTTTCTCGGCGCGTTTCAGATACGAAATGAAGCTTAGACTCAACATTTTCGTCCTTCTTTCTATTGGAATTAAACGCTCTTGACTGGATTGTTTTTTTTCTTTTAAGGAGTGTCTTATTACTTACAAAATCAAGAAGTAGCTGGCTTAAAGCTAGAACAGGTTTCCCCTGGCGCCGGTCCCTCATGTCTCTCCGAAAAGCCGCATTCGGATAAAAACGTCTAGATTTAGTAATTGTTGCAAACCATAGTTAGTCTGATTTACATTTCTAGTTTTAAGATAATGCGCCAAGGTCAACTCAAATACCCCACCTCACCTATTATTACCCTGAAAGGTCAGTTGAAGTATTTCTTCAGTCAGTTAATGTTGTGTGCTAGACAATTTCATTCCCATGGTTAGGATACAAAAACGTAATGTCATTTTGCTTTTTGCTTAGTATGGTCGCTAAGACGAAAAAATAAACAGTGAACAAGTCCCGTGCGGTCCACGTTACAAGGTGCCTCACAATTTATTGCATTAGGATCAAGAGATGAGGACGCAGGTGTTGCGTTCAGTTGCAGTGGGTTTTAAATTTGAATATCCGGCAGCAACATCCCTACAAAAAGTAATTGATCACGGATCATCTTTTCCAACTCACTACTGTAATCACGTGTTGCTGGTTAGCTAACGAAAATATTTAAAAATTTCGTTAACTGTTACATCAAAAGAGATAAGAGAGGAAATTTCACTTGCGAATGAAATTGAATTGACACGTGCTCATAAGAGCAATTCTAATTAAGTCTTCGGCGACGCTTGCGGGTGCAGTGAATATTCAAGACTCTAATTTTTTAACTGGAAGATAAAGATTAATAATGTAAAAAAATATATTCAAGATCAATATTTTGATATTTGTTTTAAAATGATGATAAGTATCCAACTGTATATCTAAAACTTTATTGAGCTCATGATTTATTCATCGCAACTTATGGCTGACCAAAGTGGGATCACCTTTTATTTTACTTCATTTGCACCTTTGCAAGTACTTACATCCAAACAAATTTACGTTAAGCATTAAATTATATGCAGACTTTATTAGCTTGGTATAGGATGGCGTTTAATTAACTACATTAAAGACCACTTTTTCTTTCATATTGAAATCAAACATCATTTCATTCGGTGGACTCCTCAACTTTTTTTTAATGATAATAGCTTGAGTTGGTTTTTGTTGCTTTTAAACGTGGGCTTTATTTTTTACACAGTTGTTGTGAAGATGGTATCTAGCTGAATGAGGATTGAAACTTGTGCCAAAGTGCTGGCGGGGGCACTGCACGCACGAGATTCAACAAAACTAGAACTCTTTTCACAACGTATACGAGAAAGGGCAAACAAAGCCCCCTATCGGTATAAAAGCGTATTAGTTATTAGTTTGACACTCCGAGGAACGTTCCTTGGTCCCATATTATGTATAAGGAGACTACCAACCGGGATATTAGACTAGCGGAAGCAGCCATGAGTACACAAAGCGCCAACATTCATGGTAGGTGTAATATCATTCTGAACCAATCTGGGTTGAAGGAACACCGTTTCAACCACAGTACAAACTGCAACGACCTTTCACATGTGAAAGGTTTGAACCCAGGACTCATTTCATAGGTAGTTTGAGCAGGATCGTCCGGGTGAACGCAGTCCTGAATAACACTGTTGTTGAAAGTGACTGACCGGTTTCGACAACCTGTGCAGTAGTCTTCTTAAAACTTTCTCCCGTAGTTTCACTTATTCGTTCGTACCTTCATCATGTAAGGATTATATTACGAACTCATAGACCACCTCTCAGTTGACTTGAGACCTCCTTACCCGTATCGCAGAGGTTAATATGAATTCGAGAGTCCCGTTCAAGCCTGACTGAATACTTTTCAGGCTTTCTTGTAGCAGCTGCTTATATTGCGAACATAACTTCGACGATCTTTCACGATAAGATATTATCACTGTTAAAAAGATATTAATACTTTGACTTCAGGGTGGTTTGATGTTCTTATGGTCGCTGGCTCCACCTCACCAGTTCCGTAATACAGCCATGAGATGTTTGATTTCGCGGGTGCAGCCTTCTGTCACAACTAATTCAAATTGATAAGAAAAAAAGAGGGGCTGCATAAACGATCGTGTTTCATGGCCATCTTTACTGGGTTGGAAATAAGATTTCCAATAGCAGTAATCAACACGCTTGCAAATGCATTTTATGATAAACACGTTTTGTATGAAGTTCAACATACTTTCTTGTCACATTAAGAAACGTCACGTTTACCATGAAATATATTCCCTCAAGTTACTTACTGCTGTTTGCATTTTATTTGCCATCAGAAGGAACTTGTATCTGCTTTAGGCCCCCTCTACACGTATCCGGATATTTTTGAATCCGCAACTTTTTCTTTGTGGATTCGGTTCCCGTCAACACGAATCCGGTGAATCAGGCTTGCGAATCAGCAAGTTTTTGAATCTACTCCCCAGAGTGGACATTTTTGAATACATGAATCCAGAATCGTGTGGACGCTAAATCCGGATATTTTTTTTATCCGGTGACATAACAAGATCGAGCCCAGCTCTGTACCGTTACATGTAATACTGTATTCAAGAGGGTAACCTCGTTCCCAGCCTGTTCTCCCTCTTACCCGTCGAGGAACAGGTAGGAGAGGACCCAGGGGTCAACCTTACTCTTCGCATTTTTCTTTGATTTCTGCGGTGATTCTGACATAATTCTAGTGATAAATCGAGAATCCTAGAGGAGTCCTGGGTACTAGAATGGGCAAATTCGATTTCAATACAGATGCCTGTGGAGGTGGAAATGTTTGAATCCGGAAAAAAAAGTTGCAGATTAAAAAATATCCGGATACGAGTGGGCGGGGCCTTAGTGAAAGGCGGAATAAATGAGGTTTTTGAATCTCTTACACGTGAGAAATAAAATGCTACACGACAGGGACATTTTTAAATCAAAACAGTTTACCAACATTTTTCGCCGTAATGGTTTCATCAGTAAACGCATATGTTACAAAAAATGCTAAGACTATCCTCGAGACTATCTAGACAGTTCGGGAAACAGTATACACATAGTTGAGAAAACAAGGCTATAAAAAATATTTAAAACTGAGGAAAAACGTGCTTACATATGACAGATAAACACAACAAACAACCCACGGTTCTCACTGTATATTTACCTTTTTATATAGACTTCTAAGACTGTCGATTTCTAATTTACATTTTCTTAGTGACAGTAAAAAGTGTTCTTGCTGGCAGAGTTTACAGTAGGTTGCTAGTAGTCGGTAGTAAACGTAAGGGAAATTCCCGACAGTAACCCAGTACTCACTACACTGTAATAGAAGGTGATTAGGTTCAGAAAAATAACAGTAACAAAAAAATTATTCCAGCTTTTTCGTTTCGACTCGTCATATGGGACTTAAATTGAAGGCCACAAGGCGTCCGCAATTCACCGCAGTCGCACGTAGAAATTTCTTGGGATCAATTCAAAACGGCAGAACCTGTTTACGACTTATCTGACACTCAGATCTCCCTAGTGTCTGTCTGTAGGTGAGATAGCTGGACACAAGATTACATCATGATAGAATTCTGGTTACCATGCCTTACAGGAGCTCCTGAGCCTGGTTTAAATCTGCTACAACGGTTACATTAAGCATGAATTAATGTCGGGATAAAGGCTAGGAAGGTGTAGAGAAACTCAGACGCTTGTTCTGCGCCACAAATACATTAATGAACAATTTTTATGGAGATTGCAAAGCGAACTCGGTGGTGAGGATGGGGAGAACGTTCCTCTCGTTTTGAGGTACTGGGCTTGAACTCTAGCTACACTGTAAACTACAATTTGTACTCTGAAAATCCCCTCAAAATTTTCATGTCCGCCTCCTGAAAGTGACCCCCAAAATATTTGTACCAGCTTCAATATTTTGGTAGCCTCAGGGTTACTAAATTGTATCTATCACAACTCCCAACGCTAACAAAAAAGCTTAGGGACAAGTAAGTTATGTTTACTAATATTGATTTTGCGTCGTACTAATTTCGTTAATTCATGGGAATAAAAAATTCACTCATCATAGTAAAAAAAAATGTCGAGTTTGAATAACAGTGGAAGACTGTTATATTATTTGATTCTCAATTTCGCAGGCTCGGAACCAGCCGTTGAAACATCCACACACTACCAGACCCTGGGGTAGTTTGTTTGCTTTGTCCATCTAGTACAGAAGGCTCAAGCTACATTACTTCTGCAGTATTTGTTATCTATTCACTGAACAGTACTAGATTTATCTATTTTACTTGACTTGGCAGCCGGTATACTAGGTGCCGTCTGTCTTTGTTACTAGAAAATACCGATATTTGGCAACTTATACACTTAGTTATATATTATTATAAAGGAAATAAAGGGAGAATTAAAGAATAAACCATAAGAGAACACAGAAAAAATCTGGGCCCCAGGTGGGATTCGAACCCACGACCCTCTGTGTTCTAGATCGGATGCTCTAACCTCTTAGCCACTGAGGACTCGTTGGCGAGCAATGGTCATTTTTTGTGGGTTGGACTTGCGAACCGTATCACGCGAACTGCATCACGCAGTCACGTGGTCCATCACAAGCAACAAATCTGAATCCCATCTGAGGCTCAGATTTTTCTGTGTCCTCTTATGGTTGATTCTTTAACTCTCCCTTTATTTCCTTTATAATACTAATATCAGTGGTATATATTATTACATATGTTATATTCTAAGTTAGAAAAATCCAACTAGTGGTCTATTATCAATGCTGCGTTCTGATTGGTTGAGCTACTACTAGGCTATATTTTATAGCCCACTAGAAGCGAAAAGCGCCGGCTTTGAAAACCAGAACAATGGCGGCTGAATCGTGTTTTGCTAGCTAAAGTTGTTTTGTCTCGATATTTTTTACCAACTAGTTGGATTTTACTAAAACAATTATTCCTCGCGCCCTCATGGCCTCTGAGTCAATAACCCATGAGGCCAGCCCATTCGGGCTCGAGGAATAATTGCTAATTATTACCTTAAAGTCCCCACGTGAAAAAAATTTCCAACTTAATCCCAAAACCATAAGGTAATCCTCTTACAAAATGGTTCTACAAAACTGATTCTAGACCTTAAGTATAACCTTTTAAGACAAACTAAGCAGTAAAATCGGCTATTAGAACTCTGTTGGTATGATTCTCGATTAATCCGAGGAAATTCAGTACAGAGTCTTATCACATGTCTGAAAAGTCACCACATGATAGCTAGACTGCACAGGACAGCCAGTCCCCACAGGACCGTCAGCCGGCTCTTTCTGTAACTCACTCATCTATTCATTCCTTTGAGTTCGCAAATCACAAATCCTCGTCATCGATCGCAGAATGTCGGTTCTTAGGGGTTGTTTTAGGAACCGCAAATTTCTGATTGCCTTTTGAAGAAGACTTTGTGTGGCTCTTTGAGATGGATGTCGCTTTAACACTCTAGAAAAGAAGACACACACACCCACCATCTTAAAACATGAGCTTGATTGCCACTCTTTTAATTACTACCGACAATGAAATAAATTTCGACAAGGATAATCCCGGTTAAAACGTCGTAAAACCTCGGTTATAAGCCGTCTACACCACCTTGGTCCAGTATTTCACCAAAAAGAACTGAAGTAAATCCAGGTAACAACGACAACAACAACAAGAAAACAAACAAACAAAAAAACATGAAATAATAACTTATGCAATCAAAATGAAACACTTTCTACCGTGTCTTGTGATTCTGTGCTATCGTTAGATTCATCTACTTCTCCGTTTCCCTCAATTTGACTTGGGTATAACGGTAAAATACCGTCCTATGAAAAGAACACACGCAAAATGAGTCACACGCATGGAGTGTAAAAAACTGTTTAAACATCACAACGCGTGACAATGATGAAATGCTCATTGCGTCATAAGTGCGGGAAACAGATAAAAAAACACTGGTTTGCTGACTGGATTCAAACTCATAACCTCCCACCGTACCGAGAAGTTTCCTCTTCTTGCCATGACACTTCGCCCTTCCCTTGTTTCCCGTCAATCACTTGCCCAGTCTCGCGGGAGTTTCTAAGCCCCCGAGGAAGAGGCTACCTCCAGTCCTATACTTTGTAAGTATCGGAAACAGGGCTCAAAATAAATTTGGGTGTGCTGGCGGTTGTGTTAACCAGCCAAAGAAATTTCAACTCGGTCACTTCTCTCTTCTGATCGGTCAATATGTTTAAAATAACACGGTAACTAAATTGAACGAACTAACCTAACAAGCAAAAACAAAAAGTTAAAAAAAAGGAATAGTGTGAAAAAGTTTTTTTTCCTAGTCGCTTGTTTACGTGTTCGGTCAAAATGACAGGCAAGCCTAAAGTTTGTACGGACAAATGATCGGCCGTTATTTTAAGCCCTGAACAATGTAGTCAAAAGCACCCATTGTGTAGCCTTCTAAGCAGATGTCCTCTTGAGTCGTCACACAGTCGTTCTCAAAGTTGTCAATTAAATTTATTATATTGATTAAATATATATTAATTTTACCTGTTTATTCCACTCAATTTCATCCATCACTCTCTTCACACATGTGTTCATGAACACAAACTAAAAGAAAACAGAAAACAAATGTAACTAAATAGAATCCAGACCTACATAAAGTGTCACAAACTCTAATTATACAACTTCGTATATCGAAACTGTAACAATTAGTTTGGGATGAAACATACGCAAAATTTCTTGTTTAATGAAATACGCAAGGTAAGGTGGCTCGACCTTGTTTTTGAGTGCTTGTTAATAGGCTGATTTAGCAACAGGACGGGAACGTCAGCTGACGACGGGAAAGCGCGCGGAAAGGACTAAACACGACTTCCGGTGGCCAATTTGCCGGTGCCCTTGATCTGCGCGCGCCGTCTTCAACTGACGTTCCCGTTCTGTTGTTAAATCAGCCTAATATCTCTGTAACAGTGCCATCTTAGTAAAAAGTCTGATAAGTCAAACAAACAAATTATTTTTCCCAAAAAATAAGCTTAGTAAGTAAAAAAAACCTCTGTATTAGTGGGCATGATTGGCACTAGAAAGGGAAAGAGAAGTGGACACGCGCGAGAGCGCGGGCTCCTCCCTTATTTCGCGCTCCGCACTCTCTCCGCTTTTTTCCTTGGACGGAAATCCTCTTTTCCTTTCCCTCTCTCTTTCTAGAACCAACCAGGCAGATAACTCAACATATCGACTTACATATTGTGAATAAATTTTCACCCATCTTGGTTTCTTGCCCCCTTTGCTGTACTCGAAGCAGAAAGCCATGGCTTCATCATCGGCTTCCCAATTAGTCAGATCCTCCCAGTTAAATGTATGTTCCTGATCCTTAAAAGAAAAGAAAAACAAAAACAAACACAAACACAAAGAGTCATACCTGTACCATTTGCACGAGGAATAATTAGATGCGTCCTAAAATAAGTCGGGAACAGCTGGTATAAGTGGTTCGCGTCTAGTTTCGGTCCCGTTTTCAAGTACCCAACACGTCGCGTGCTTAAATAACGACGTTTTCTTCGCCTTAACTAAGAAGTGTCTTATTTAAGAACAGGTGTTACGGGAAGTTCTTAGGTAAGACATATTAATATTTAAGACGAAAATGCCATTTACACGGAAAGTTCGGGTTTTACTTTCTAACTTGATTTTTTGGGGGCATAAAATAACCCTAGGTGATCTGTCTTCATAGTAAAAGAATCATCCTGCGAGCAAGCTTTGTGGAGGGAACTCTCTCTCCTTTTTCCCCCATCCCAGAGCTCCCTACCCCCCCCCCCGCCACCCCACAGAGAGCTTGCTCGCAATCTAGTCATGATAAATTTCATAATTTAGTTTGTATAAATTATAGCAGTTTCAGGCGACCGAGCGCTCAATTATGTCCTGCAGCCGCCAGCTTTGATTTTGAAGGAAGACTTAATAGAGTAGGAGATTAATAGGCTGGACATAAGACGAAAGATCGAGTTGGGGGTGGGGGGGACAATCGACTACCCTCTCCCTAATCACAAACTCCACTGCAGGCGTAATAAGATAAGAAGTTGCCAGGTAAATTTTAGATTGAGTAAAACTGACCTCTTTATCACCCTGATCTGAACAAGCCTGTAATCGGAAACTGTTTAAACTTATTGACACAATAACATGGCCACTTTTTCTTGCATCACAGGCGCAGTGGGGGAACACAACTGTTCCATATCCCTCTAAAGTCCTCGCAACATCCAAAAACTGCAAACGACACAACGGGAAACATTAAATCTGTAGCAGACAACTACAAAGAACAGTTTCAGAAAAAAATGCACCTTTAATTTGAAAGGGTACCACTTAGAATGAAAAATGGTCGGATGTTTTTCCTTAACATTGGTTTATCAAGGCGCGAAGCGCGAGGCGCGCGACCGTAGCGCGTCTCTCCCCAATCTCACGCTCCGTTTTCACCCTCACTCTAGGACCTTCGTATGACCTCACTCCGGCGCGTTCTTGACCTACGCAAATATACGGAATGTTTTGCAGTCTACGTACTTCTAACATGACAATAGCAAAGAGTTTTGCAAGATCAGTCCTATTACAGCCTAGAAGGCGAGAATAAGCTTACTTGTACATGAAAAAGTACACACGTATCTTCAGTTTTCANAGACTTAATAGAGTAGAAGATTAATAGGCTGGACATAAGACGAAAGATCGAGTTGGGGGTGGGGGGGACAATCGACCACCCTCTCCCTAATCACAAACTCCACTGCAGGCGTAATAAGATAAGAAGTTGCTAGGTAAATTTTAGATTGAGTAAAACTGACCTCTTTATCACCCTGATCTGAACAAGCCTGTAATCGGAAACTGTTTAAACTTATTGACACAATAACATGGCCACTTTTTCTTGCATCACAGGCGCAGTGGGGGAACACAACTGTTCCATATCCCTCTAAAGTCCTCGCAACATCCAAAAACTGCAAACGACACAACGGGAAACATTAAATCTGTAGCAGACAACTACAAAGAACAGTTTCAGAAAAAAATGCACCTTTAATTTGAAAGGGTACCACTTAGAATGAAAAATGGTCGGATGTTTTTCCTTAACATTGGTTTTTTAAGGCGCGAAGCGCGAGGCGCGCGACCGTAGCGCGTCTCTCCCCAGTCTCACGCTCCGTTTTCACCCTCACTGAAGGACCTTCCTATGACCTCACTCCGGCGCGTTCTTGACCTACGCAAATATACGGAATGTTTTGCAGTCTACGTACTTCTAACATGACAATAGCAAAGAGTTTTGCAAGATCAGTCCTATTACAGCCTAGAAGGCGAGAATAAGCTTACTTGTACATGAAAAAGTACACACGTATCTTCAGTTTTCATTAAGGGAAGAACGGAATGTTAAATACATCCAAAAAATACCTACCAGTACTTAAAACAAAGGAGATGTGTTATGCTTTCTTGGCAGTAATTTTGAATTGAGTACAATTTAATCACATGCTGTTTTACGCTTGCAAAAAAAGATTTTCTTTCACTTACTTCTTTTTTCTTATTGGCAGCCCGTAGCTCTTTGATCTTTTGTAAGTTTTTCCCAGGTAACAGCGTTCTTCTTCTTAAGTCACCAACTGCCTGCAAGATAAACTGACACATTACACCTGCTTGTTCAAGTCTTTATCACTTCCCTCCAGATTGTACCGAAAAAGCACTTTCAAATCTTTTCATAGTGTAAGGGGTTTTGTAGACGCTGATTAACGTGAAAGGAAAATATTATTTAATGAAGTGAGCAATAACAAAGCCCACAGTCCTGGCAGAAAATCACTGGGTCGACCCGTGACCGGGCCGGGACCAGGTCCAGGGTTGAGGTCTAGTCCTGGGCTGGGTTTTTCAAAGCTGAGTTAAAATAGCCCAGGGTTAGTGTGAAATTTGAATTGCGATTTTAAAGCTTAAAATCAAATTCAGTTAATTCTTGTTGTTTACAGTTTGATGATAGGATACTCTAAAAATAATAAAGAAAATTATCCCAGAGCAGGAAAAAAATTGAAATCCTCTTACCCAGTGAGCAATTAAATTTCAGTTTCACTTGCCCCCACTAAAATATTACTTGCCGCAAGGGAACACAATACCTTATCATCTATAGTTCTAAGGTACTGTTCATAATAGGTCATAGATAATGACAAAGTAAATAAGATTACTAGCACTTGTAAGTATTAGTACCTGCTGGATTTGACCAATATGATCATCAGAGGAGCAACACAAGCAACCAAACTTTTTTTTTTGATTTTAAGTTAATTCATCCTGTCAACTAATCGTGTCACTCAACTTGTAGTCTTCAGTTTTGAAATAGCTTCTGTCTGGAAATTATCATTTACCAAGCTGACACTTTCAGACAGACTCACAGGAACACGGACGCCACTAAACTTCTATTTTTACTTGCCCAAGATTAACATTTACTTGCCGTGGGCAATCGAACCTGGGTTTTTTCCTGCCCTGTATCCGAGAAAATGCTTTTTAACAAAAGAAAAAGAAACGTGGATTAAGATTTAACCCTGGGTTAAAGCTAATCAGCCTTTGAACAACTGGGCCTTGGATTTTAAATAATTGTGTAGAATACCTGGTTATAAAGAAGATTTAACGCAGTTTCATCTTCATTCATCTGAACTTCCTGTCAAATGAATAACAACTCAGTTAAAACCCACCTCTGATGATAATCGACAAAAGATCCATCTCCCAATAAAACCATTAGTAAAAAATTGTTTTAATAAGGGACTTCAATACTGTTAAAGGATTGGAGATTAATTCAGCATTATAACAAAGAATCATCATTTTCTGATGGCCATTAAAAGTATTATCAAAGCACAGTGTACTGTACATACCCTAGCAAGAGTAAAATTCCATTTTCTTAACGCAAGGCAGGTTGTTGATGATGCGGAATAACTCCGAATGTAAACACTGTGAGGCAACTCATTGTTCTCAAGCTTTCGTTCTGTAAAATATTCCTATCATTAATGGGTCTGCACATATTAAAATAAAACTACACATAACTTTTTGTTAATGTAGAGTTGAAAGATTAACTAATTTAAACAATACATGCACGTAAGGAGTATTACTATTTTATAGGACAAGACAACTTAAATTTACCTCTTCCGTGTCCAACAGAAGGTTTAAACACCATTAAAATAACTTGAAAAGCATCAGTGGATTTTATTGAATGTTTATAATAAGAAGTTAGTACAAATCAAATTCAGGTAGACAATAAAAGTAAGACCCATGACAGTGGATGGCCACAATATTAAAACAGTTTGACTGTTTTTACTTTAGAAAGAAATAACTATGACACACAAAGAGCAAAAGGGAAAAATACACAAGCAATTGCAATGAAAGCAAAATTGCAACTTACGGATATTTTTGTCATAGACTAGGGATCACACACTAGATTCAATAATCACTTATCAAGGGCAGGACAGCTAACAATGGAAGCCAATTTTTGAAGTACTCCCACCTGACAAGAATGTGACATCCTAGATCTGTTGCTTCATTTCTCCCAAAATAAGTCATAAAATTTTGCTATATCCCTAGACTTTCATTTAACCAAACAGGGACTATCACTGGATGATTCTTGATCACAAGGCCTTGACTAAATTAATGATCATGATGTAATTCAGCAATTTTTTGTGCCCTGCTCAAAAAACTACCGCACGTGAGTAAAGCATGGTAGAAAGGGGGGAACAATAGATGGCAAAAAAATACTGTCATTTTTCATTTTAATTAACATGAACATGGAGCCTCAAGCTAACAAGATACAACAGCTAGTGAACGAAAAGATGTAGATAATACATGCACACGGAAAGGACTTCGTAAATCATTCAGTGTAAAAAATTCTTTGTAATTCATTCAGTGGTTTCGATTCTCTCTTTATTCTTTGGTGCGTTCGAAGCGAAAAACCACTTGGTGTCCAGTCCCTTGGGAAACCAGTTAGTTTTGTTTTCCCCAGAATCCTTACATTAGGGGTATGAAGTAATGCACAGCAACATCACTCAATTGGATTAAGTTAATTTACCATTTTCTGGAAGCAGAATCTGGTTTTAATGCTATGTTAGCGGTATGATAATTCATTCAAATCATTACGTTATGCCTGATTGGCTTAAATTTGGACAATGTCTGCCAAATATATCAATACAGTTGATGTCAATCATATCGTCACCAGCAGAAAAAAGGCACACAGACATCACCAAGGAACAGTGTGGTGTCTCAAGAGTTTTGGCAGTGAAGAGCTGAAGAGACTGGTGGAAGATTCCTCATAATATGTGAACACAAAAAAGTCTTCACATCACACAAAAGCTGAATTCAATCATGTTTTTGCACAAAACATGAGTAGTCAGACTTAAACAATAAATGCTAACTTTGTATAAACCTATGGTTTATGTTATTTGGAAGCTAAAGAAACTGAAAAGCGTGGTATTTTGTCAATAACTTACCAAAACCACTTTCCATAATCTCAAAAAGGGCAAAGTTAAAAGCATTTTCCTGGCTCAGATTGAGCTTCTGCACCAAGGCCTTGAAATAGAATACAAAATGAGAAAAGGCTGTAATACCATCACATATTTTTCAAATAGTCCTTAGCCAATGGCTCTGGATAAACTATCTGACATGTAACAGTGCAAATCACTCTGAATGTTTTTCTGTTTTAAAGTTGCCTGTAAAAAAAAAACATTGAGGGGGTTGGTAGGTGTTTTGTAAGGATCCACGGACTTCCTTGTTAAAATGGACTGGCAAAGTGAAGCACTCACATGTGATTTTCTAGAAGTGCATGGTGACAAAAATCTTCTTAATGAGGGTCAATTTTGGGTTCTCAAGAAGTGCCATTTTGGACCTTTGACTGCCTTGTTTACGAAATGCTATTCTTCAAAGAACTGAGGCCTAGCCTTAAAACTCAGAGTGACTCAATTAGATAAAGTCAGAATGATCTAAAATCGTGTTTCTACCATGTAATGTCAAGGCCAACTGAAAAACTTTTTTGTAGAAATGCATGGCCATCATTCAGAGTTTTCTGATCATCCTGNAATGGAAGCCAATTTTTGAAGTACTCCCACCTGACAAGAGTGCCACATCCTAGATCTGTTGCCTCATTTCTCACAAAATAAGTCATAAAATTTTGCTATATCCCTAGACTTTCATTTAACCAAAAAGGGACTATCACTGGATGATTCTTGATCACAATGCCTTGACTAAAATGATCAAGATGTAATTCAGCAATTCTTTGTACCCTGCTCAGGAAACTACCGCACATGAGTAAAGCATGGTGGAAAGGGGGCATGATAGAGGGCAAAAAAAATACTATCATTTTCCATTTTAATTAACATGAACATGGAGCCTCAAGCTAACAAGATATAACAGCTAGTGAACAAAAAGATGTAGACAATACATGCACACAGAAAGGACTTTGTAAATCATTCAGTGTAAATAATAATTATTTGTAATTCATTCAGTGGTCTTGATTCTCTCTTTATTCTGTGGCGTGTTTGAAGTGAAAGGCTAGGAATAATTATAATAGAACACTTGGTGTCCAGTCCCTCGGGAAACCAGTTAGTTTTGTTTTCCCCAGAATCCTGACATTAGGTGTATAAAGTAATGCACAGCAACATCACTCAACAATTCGATCAGGTTAATTTACCATTTTCTGGAAGCAGAATCTGGTTTTAACACTATGTAAGCAGTATAATAAATAATAATTCATTCAAATCATTACTTTATGCCTGATTGGCTTAAATTTGGACAATGTCTGCCAATATCAATACAGCTGATGTCAATCATATCGTCACCAACAAAAAAAAGGCACACAGACATCACCAAGGAACAGTGTGGCGACTCAAGTGTTTTGGTAGTGAAGAGCTGAAGAGAATGGTGCAAGATTCCTCATAATATGTGAACACAAAAAAGTCTTCACATCACACAAAAGCTGAATCCAATCAGGTTTTTGCACAAAACATGAGTAGTCAGACTTAAACAATAAATGCTAACTTTGTATAAACCTATGGTTTGTGTTATTTGGAAGCTAAAAAAAAAAACTGAAAAGCATGGTATTTTGTCAATAACTTACCAAAACCACTTTCCATAATCTCAAAAAGGGCAAAGTTAAAAGCATTTTCCAGGCTCAGATTGAGCTTCTGTACCAAGGCCTTGAAATAGAATACAAAATGAGAAAAGGCTGTAATTCCACATTTTCAAATAGTCCTTAGCCAATGGCTCTGGATAAACTATCTGACATGTAACAGTGCAAATCACTCTGAGTGTTTTTCTGTTTTAAAGTTACCTGTAAAAAAAGCATTGAGGGGTTGGTAGGCGTTTTGTAAGGATCCACAGACTTCCTTGTTAAAATGGACTGGCAAAGTGAAGCACTCACATGTGATTTTCTAGAGGTGCATGGTGACAAAAATCTTCTTAATGAGGGTCAATTTTGGGTTCTCAAGAAGTGCCATTTTGGACATTTGCCTGCCTTGTTTACGAAATGCTATTCTTCAAAGAACTGAGGCCTAGCCTTAAAACTCAGAGTGACTCAATTAGATAAAGTCAGAATGATCTAAAATCGTGTTTCTACCATGTAATGTCAAGGCCAACTGAAAAACTTTTTTGTAGAAATGCATGGCCATCATTCAGAGTTTTCTGATCATCCTGCAATGTTCTAAGTTAATAGTCTTTACCTTAAACACTTCCTCCGTCCTGTGACATCTCAACACAGTTACCGTAGTAATGGCATCATCAGGCAAATATATTCTCAACTCAACTTTCATTTTACCATCTTCTGTGTCTTTCTCCTAGTGATTACAGAGAAAAGAAGAGCTGCATGTCATCAGGGGTGTCCCTGAGAGCCAGCCACCGGCTTATTTCACTGGCACAAATTGCTCTAGTAAACAATAGCATGGGGCAATTTTGAAAGAGCACTTGAGTAAAATAGCCAGCTTGACTGATAAAAAAGCCTGCTAAGCTTTTCCTTAGCTGCATCTCCGCTCATTATTGTCACTTCCAGAAGTTTAGGAAGGATCAAAGAACATGTCTAAATTATCCCAAACATTTAACTCTAAAGGACTACAGTTAAGTGATCCAGTTGAACAATTTTGCTTCCTCAAAATCTCAACATTGTCCCCATATACAGAGTTTGAAATATTGCCTAGTCAGTCAACGGACAATTTCCAGCCAGAAATGGCTATATTTGACTGGTCAAATCTTTTGAAGGCCAGTTATGTTGTCTGATCATAACTGTTAATGAACAGCACTGTACAGCGGGACAAAAAGCAAACTGATATAGTTATGTTGTTTAATTTCCAGTCGATCATAACTATGCCTAGATGTTGTAAATTTGAATTTCCCTGGCATAAAAGAGGCCGTCAAAATCAATTTTTTTCTTTATGTTAGTTTGCCTGTGCTATATTATCCTCATTTTTTTTAAGTTGTCCATAGTATTCAGTAGTTTTGTGTAAGTTAGTTCATTTGCAGTACTAATACTTGTCATTTCAATGTTTCTCTAGGTTTGTGGAGTATCATTTTTCTGTAAAATATTACTTTTAAAATATTTGACTAGTCAAAAATGGGTCTTAGGTGAAAAATACATATCTAACCTTTCGCCATAAAACATACTGGCACATTTATAGTGTAGTGGAGACCCCAACTTCAATCACTTTCAGGGGCGGATCCAGGATTTTTTTTAGGAGGGGGCGCACTCGTCTCTTGCTCTACTTCAACACCAATAAACCACATAGTTTTTTTTTTGCAGAATACCAGTTGTATTAGAAAACTGCAGGTCATCTAAGGGGGGGGGGGGTGTGCACCCCTTGCACCCTCCCCCTAGATCCGCCCCTGACTTTTTGTTCACAATAACAGTTGTTAGTCAACATATATTAGTGGGTACTGAGAGTGTTTAATACTATTTTACCTACAGAAGGTGAAGTACATAAAAAGAGTGCAGACTACTGAGAAAATTATTCTAGGTGCATACATATATTTTAGTCAAGTTTCACTTTTGGTGAGCATTGATTTTATCGACAAGAAACAGGTTGGTGAAATCAATGAAATGCTAAAATTACCACAACATGGTTTTCAGAGGATTTCAGGAATTCTTCCATGATATCTGATTCTCCTATAATTCTCACAGAATTTACTGCAATGAAACAATGTTAGTCAGCTCATTCTCATCTATTTTACATTCCCCTGTATTTAAAAATTGGTTTATGCTTAGCAAGCGTATACAGCTGTATCAAATTATGGATGCATGTGGGAAGTTTGGAGAGCATGAGAGAAGAATAAGTGTAGGCTAGTCAGTGCTCTTCAAACTTCCCAAGTGCATCCAAAACTTGATATATGCACTTCTTAAAGTATGAACCAACAATTGGTTCATACTTTAAGACGTTATTCTCTTTTACCATAGTCTGACAACCAAGTCTGATTTGTGATTGACAATGAGTGGCACAAAAAAAAAAAAATGCTTTTATTGGATGTTTAAAAAACACCAAAATTGTCCACCCTGAAAGAGAATGTTTAATGTCAAACTGGCAGAGCTTGAGACAAAGTAAGCTTATTTAATAGTTAACAATCAATACAATGAGGACAAAAGAGTTTTCAAGCCCACATAAAGTTGAAATACGCCAATATTTCTAAGAGGGCCTGGAGTATGGTTTCAATTCTTAACAAGGTTTACATTTTGCTTACGGAAATTTAGGAAACTCTTGGTGGTTTTCTCCTAGCTAAAATGACACTACCTGCCATCTTACATCAAATTTGTTTGCAAACAATAGGTACAAGTCTAAGACATATTGGTCACAAGGCTTGCTGCAGTTTGCTATTGTAAGAACATGTACAGTATAGGCAAGACAGAGAATCATTACTGCTACAAAATAGAATAATGAAGATGATAATGATGAAGTATTATTGCAAATCACCAGGTTCCAAGCCAGTTATGAGAGAGAAACTACACTGAAGCCATGCTGTGGTTTCATTTGACTTTATGCTGAATATACAAAATAGATAGCAATAATATTATTTTATTTACTACTATTACCTTGTTCAAGGTAGGATTCCAGACCTTTCCTTCGAGATTCTAACTGTTGATCTGACAAATTAAATGGCCATTTTCCAGGGAACTTTGGAAACTGAAAATCTCTGAACTCCTTTTTGAGCTAAATTTAAGGTATAAAATTAACAATTAGCCCTCTACTGTTTACAGTCCACTCTGTCATAAAAGACACCTCTGTTACTGAGTTGACCCCTACCTTTCTTTACTCCCTTTATTTGAGTCTCTGTAAGACAGATATCACTCTTATAGACTGCGGGCACCTACAATAGTGCAGGTCCCAAAGGTGTATATGTTTTGCAGTCTACGTACTTCTAACATGACAATAGCAAAGAGTTTTGCAAGATCAGTCCTATTACAGCCTAGAAGGCGAGAATAAGCTTACTTGTACATGAAAAAGTACACACGTATCTTCAGTTTTCACTAAGGGAAGAACGGAATGTTAAATACATCCAAAAAGTACCTACCAGTACTTAAAACATAGGAGATGTGTTATGCTTTCTTGGCAGTAATTTTGAATTGAGTACAATTTAATCACATGCTTTTTTATGCTTGCAAAAAACGATTTTCTTTTCACTTACTTCTTTTTTCTTATTGGCAGCCTGTAGCTCTTTGATCTTTTGTAAGTTTTTCCTAGGTAACAGCGTTCTTCTTCTTAAGTCACCAACTGCCTGCAAGATAAACTGACCCATTACACCTGCTTGTTCAAAGCCTTTATCACTTTCCTCCACATTGTACCGAAAAAGCACTTTCAAATCTTTTCATAGTGTAAGGGGTTTTGTAGACGCTGATTAACGTGAAAGGAAAATATTATTTAATGAAGTGAGCAATACCAAAACACACAGTCCTGGCAGAAAATCACTGGGTCGGCCTGGGGCCTGGCCAGGGCCAGGTCGAGGGTTGAGGTCTAGTCCTGGGCTGGGTTTTTCAAAGCTGGGTTAAAATAGCCCAGGGTTAGTGTGAAATTTGAATTAAAAAGCAAATTCAGTTAATTCTTGTTGTCTACAGTTTGATGATTGGATGCTCTAAAAATAATAAAGAAAATTATCCCAGGGCAGGAAAAAAAATTTAAATCCTTTTAACTAATGTGCAATTAAATTTCAGTTTCACTTGCCCCCACTAAAATTTTACTTGCCGCAAGGGAACACAATGCCTTATCATCTATAGTTCTAAGGTACTGTCCATAATAGGTCATAGATAATGACAAAGTGAATAAGATTACTAGCACTTGTAAGTATTAGTAACTGCTGGATTTGACCAATATGATGATCAGAGGAGTAACACAAGCAACCAAACTTACTTTTTGATTTTAACTTAATTCATCCTGTCAACTAATTGTGTCACTCAACTTGTAGTCTTCAGTTTTGAAATAGTTTCTGTCTGGAAATTATCATTTACCAAGCTGACACTTTCAGACAGACTCACAGGACCACTGATGCCATTAAACTTCTATTTTTACTTGCCCAAGATTAACATTTACTTGCCGCGGGCAATCGGACTTAGGTTTTTTCCTGCCCTGTATCTGAGAAAATGCTTTTCAACAAAAGAAAAAGAAACGTGGAGGTAATCAGCCTTTGAACAACTGGGTCTTGGATTTTAAATAATTGTGTAGAATACCTGGTTATAAAGAAGATTTAACGCAGTTTCATCGTCATTCATCTGAACTTCCTGTCAAATGAAAAACAACTCAGTTAAAACCCACCTCTGATGATAATCAACAAAAGATCCATCTCCCAATAAAACCATTTGTAAAAAAATTGTTTTAATAAGGGACTTCAATACTGTTAAAGGATTGGAGATTACTTCAGCATTATACCAAAGAATCATCATTTTCTGAAGGCCATTAAAAGTATTATCAAAGCACAGTGTACTGTACATACCCTAGCAAGAGTAAAATTCCATTTTCTTAATGCAAGGCAGGTTGTTGATGATGCGGAATAACTCCGAATGTAAACACTGTGAGGCAACTCATTGTTCTCAAGCTTTCGTTCTGTAAAATATTCCTATCATTAATGGGTCTGCACATATTATAATAAAACTACACATAACTTTTTGTTAATGTACAGTTGAAAGATTAACTAATTTGAGAAAGGTGACCTTCATTTAAAGAATACATGCATGTAAGGAGTATTACTAGTTTATGGGACAAGAAAACTGAAATTTACCCTCTTCCGTGTCCAACAGAAGGTTTAAACACCATTAAAATAACTTGAAAAGCATCAGTGGATTTTATTGAATGTTTATAATAAGAAGTTAGTACAAATCAAATTCAGGTAGACAATAAAAGTAAGACCCATGACAGTGGATGGCCACAATATTAAAACAGTTTGACTGTTTTTACTTTAGAAAGAAATAACTATGACACACAAAGAGCAAAAGGGAAAAATACACAAGCAATTGCAATGAAAGCAAAATTGCAACTTACGGATATTTTTGTCATAGACTAGGGATCACACACTAGATTCAATAATCACTTATCAAGGGCAGGACAGCTAACAATGGAAGCCAATTTTTGAAGTACTCCCACCTGACAAGAATGTGACATCCTAGATCTGTTGCTTCATTTCTCCCAAAATAAGTCATAAAATTTTGCTATATCCCTAGACTTTCATTTAACCAAACAGGGACTATCACTGGATGATTCTTGATCACAAGGCCTTGACTAAATTAATGATCATGATGTAATTCAGCAATTTTTTGTGCCCTGCTCAAAAAACTACCGCACGTGAGTAAAGCATGGTAGAAAGGGGGGAACAATAGATGGCAAAAAAATACTGTCATTTTTCATTTTAATTAACATGAACATGGAGCCTCAAGCTAACAAGATACAACAGCTAGTGAACGAAAAGATGTAGATAATACATGCACACGGAAAGGACTTCGTAAATCATTCAGTGTAAAAAATTCTTTGTAATTCATTCAGTGGTTTCGATTCTCTCTTTATTCTTTGGTGCGTTCGAAGCGAAAAACCACTTGGTGTCCAGTCCCTTGGGAAACCAGTTAGTTTTGTTTTCCCCAGAATCCTTACATTAGGGGTATGAAGTAATGCACAGCAACATCACTCAATTGGATTAAGTTAATTTACCATTTTCTGGAAGCAGAATCTGGTTTTAATGCTATGTTAGCGGTATGATAATTCATTCAAATCATTACGTTATGCCTGATTGGCTTAAATTTGGACAATGTCTGCCAAATATATCAATACAGTTGATGTCAATCATATCGTCACCAGCAGAAAAAAGGCACACAGACATCACCAAGGAACAGTGTGGTGTCTCAAGAGTTTTGGCAGTGAAGAGCTGAAGAGACTGGTGGAAGATTCCTCATAATATGTGAACACAAAAAAGTCTTCACATCACACAAAAGCTGAATTCAATCATGTTTTTGCACAAAACATGAGTAGTCAGACTTAAACAATAAATGCTAACTTTGTATAAACCTATGGTTTATGTTATTTGGAAGCTAAAGAAACTGAAAAGCGTGGTATTTTGTCAATAACTTACCAAAACCACTTTCCATAATCTCAAAAAGGGCAAAGTTAAAAGCATTTTCCTGGCTCAGATTGAGCTTCTGCACCAAGGCCTTGAAATAGAATACAAAATGAGAAAAGGCTGTAATACCATCACATATTTTTCAAATAGTCCTTAGCCAATGGCTCTGGATAAACTATCTGACATGTAACAGTGCAAATCACTCTGAATGTTTTTCTGTTTTAAAGTTGCCTGTAAAAAAAAAACATTGAGGGGGTTGGTAGGTGTTTTGTAAGGATCCACGGACTTCCTTGTTAAAATGGACTGGCAAAGTGAAGCACTCACATGTGATTTTCTAGAAGTGCATGGTGACAAAAATCTTCTTAATGAGGGTCAATTTTGGGTTCTCAAGAAGTGCCATTTTGGACCTTTGACTGCCTTGTTTACGAAATGCTATTCTTCAAAGAACTGAGGCCTAGCCTTAAAACTCAGAGTGACTCAATTAGATAAAGTCAGAATGATCTAAAATCGTGTTTCTACCATGTAATGTCAAGGCCAACTGAAAAACTTTTTTGTAGAAATGCATGGCCATCATTCAGAGTTTTCTGATCATCCTGAAATGTTCTAAGTTAGTAGTCTTTACCTTAAACACTTCCTCTGTCCTGTGACATCTCAACACAGTTACTGTTGTAATGGCATCATCAGGCAAATATATTCTCAACTCAACTTTCATTTTACCATCTTCTGTGTCTTTCTCCTAGTGATTACAGAGAAAAGAAGAGCTTCATGTCATCAGGAGTGTCCCTGAGAGCCAGCCACCGGCTTATTTCACTGGCACAAATTGCTCTGGTAAACAATAGCATGGGGCAATTTTGAAAGAGCACTTGAGTAAAATAGTCAGCTTGACTGATAAAAAAGCCTGCTAAGCTTTTCCTTGGCTACATCCCCGCTCATTATTGTCACTTACAGAAGTTTAGGAAGGATCAAAGAACATGTTTAAATTATCCCAAACATTTAACTCTAAAGGACTACAGTTAAGAGATCCAGTTAAATAATTTTGCTTCCTCAAAATCTCAACATTGTCCCCATATACAGAGTTTGAAATATTGCCCAGTCTGTCAACGAACAATTTCCAGCCAGAAATGGCTATTGACTGGTCAAATCTTTTGAAGGCCAGTTATGTTGTCTGATCATAACTGTTAATGAACAGCACTGTACAGCGGGACAAAAAGCAAACTGATATAGTTATGTTGTTTCCAGTCGATCATAACTATGCCTAGATGTTGTAAATTTGAATTTCCCTGGCATAAAAAAGGCCGTCAAAATCAATTTTTTTCTTTATGTTAGTTTGCCTGTGCTATATTATCCTCATTTTTTTTTAAAGTTGTCCATAGTACTCAGTATTTTTGTGTAAGTTAGTTCATTTGCAGTACTAATACTTGTCATTTCAATGTTTCTCTAGGTTTGCGGAGTATCATTTTTCTGTAAAATATTACTTTTAAAATATTTGACCAGTCAAAAATGGGTCTGAGGTGAAAAATATATATCTAACCTTTTGCCATAAAACATACTGGCACATTTGTAGTGTAGTGGAGACCCAAACTTCAATCACTTTCAGGGGCGGATCCAGGATTTTTTTTAGGAGGGGGCGCACTCGTCTCTTGCTCTACTTCAACACCAATAAACCACATAGTTTTTTTTTTTTTTTTGCAGAATACAAGTTGTATTAGAAAACCGCAGGTCATCTCAGGGGGGTGGGGGGGGGGTGTGCACCCCCTGCACCCTCCCCCTAGATCCGCCCCTGACTTTTTGTTCACAATAACAGTTGTTAGTCAACATATATTAGTGGGTACTGAGAGTGTTTAATACTATTTTACCTACAGAAGGTGAAGTACATAAAAAGAGTGCAGACTACTGAGAAAATTATTCTTGGTGCATACATCTATTTTAGTCAAGTTTCACTTTTGGTGAGCATTGATATTATTGACAAGAAACAGGTTGGTGAAATCAATGAAATGCTAAAATTACCACAACATGGTTTTCAGAGGATTTCAGGAATTCTTCCATGATATCTGATTCTCCTATAATTCTCACAGAATTTACTGCAATGAAACAATGTTAGTCAGCTCATTCTCATCTATTTTATAATTCCCATGTATTTAAGATTGGTTTATGCTTAGCAAGCGTATACAGCTGTATCAAATTATGGATGCATGTGGGAAGTTTGGAGAGCATGAGAGAAAAATAAGTGTAGGTTAGTGAGTGCTCTCCAAACTTCCCAAGTGCATCCAAAACTTGATATATGCACTTCTTAAAGTATGAACCAACAATTGGTTCATACTTTAAGACGTTATTCTCTTTTACCATAGTCTGACAACCAAGTCTGATTTGTGATTGACAATGAGTGGCAAAAAAAAAAAAAAATGCTTTTATTGGATGTTTAAAAAACACCAAAATTGTCCACCCTGAAAGAGAATGTTTAATGTCAAACTGGCAGAGCTTGAGACAAAGTAAGCTTATTTAATAGTTAACAATCAATACAATGAGGACAAAAGAGTTTTCAAGCCCACATAAAGTTGAAATACGCCAATATTTCTAAGAGGGCCTGGAGTATGGTTTCAATTCTTAACAAGGTTTACATTTTGCTTACGGAAATTTAGGAAACTCTTGGTGGTTTTCTCCTAGCTAAAATGACACTACCTGCCATCTTACATCAAATTTGTTTGCAAACAATAGGTACAAGTCTAAGACATATTGGTCACAAGGCTTGCTGCAGTTTGCTATTGTAAGAACATGTACAGTATAGGCAAGACAGAGAATCATTACTGCTACAATATAGAATCATGAAGATGATAATGATGAAGTATTATTGCAAATCACCAGGTTCCAAGCCAGTTATGAGAGAGAAACTACACTGAAGCCATGCTGTGGTTTCATTTGACTTTATGCTGAATATACAAAATAGATAGCAATAATTATTTTATTTACTACTATTACCTTGTTCAAGGTAGGATTCCAGACCTTTCCTTCGAGATTCTAACTGTTGATCTGACAAATTAAATGGCCATTTTCCAGGGAACTTTGGAAACTGAAAATCTCTGAACTCCTTTTTGAGCTAAATTTAAGGTATAAAATTAACAATTAGCCCTCTACTGTTTACAGTCCACTCTGTCATAAAAGACACCTCTGTTACTGAGTTGACCCCTACCTTTCTTTACTCCCTTTATTTGAGTCTCTGTAAGACAGATATCACTCTTATAGACTGCGGGCACCTACAATAGTGCAGGTCCCAAAGGTGTATGATGTCTTAGAGAGAGTTGACTCTATATTTATTACTTTCCTTATTTTGTTTTTCGGCATGGTAATTCATGATAACTATAAGTTAAGAACTTTAGAAAAGCTCAAGAACATGCAAGATATTCTAAACTCATAATGAATTGCTGTTATAAAATTTGGAAGGTTTTAAGATAATTATTAGATGTTTACAACTTTTTGATATTATACCACACTGGCCCTGTAAGATAGTTTAACAAGTACATCCCGTAGACCATGTTAACAAATATATTTGTAAAATAATCTGTTGACATTTTAATAGTATTGAAAGAACTAAATTTCTCACCTTGTTATGTAAATTTGAAAATTCTTTGTATCTTCTGGAACAAATATGCTTGTCTTCAAAATATATATTATAAACCTAAAATAATAAGAACAAAATTAATAATTTAGTACTTAATGTGCTGGAAGTGTAATTTGAAAATAAAGAAATTCGCTTGATTGCTGCTTCAGTTCAATTTACTATAGACAGTTTGTAATCCAGTGCTCTTAAGAGGTTACACAACATAGGGCTCAAAAAGACTTGAATTCCAACTTGTCTTTTGGTAAAGTAGCTCTAGTCACATTTTATGCTTGCCTGGAGCCACTTGTTACTCTTCTTAGAAAGTTACTTGCTCAGCAAGGAAATTGACTTGTTTGTGGTTTGGGAATTTTTTCGGGCCCTGAACAATAAGTTAACAGATATTTATGACTTCTTCTTGAAAAAAGTGACATATGCTGCTTGCTATCAGAGCTTGAAAAATGTCCTGTCCAGCTGTACCCTGTTTATACTCACTTGCCCTATGGGCAAATGACTAGGTCTCAGTCATTTTGTAACTACAATACATTTTATAACTGCATTGCATTTTGTAAGACCCCAAACTAACCCAAGCACAGGGCTGACCTTAGCAAGCAAAATATAAGATGTGCTTGTCGTGTCCTTGGGACAAGTGTAAAGACACTAGCATTACCTACCATGTATGTTTCACCATTACTAGTGACTTGACGCATCTCTGGTATGGATAATGGTATAACACACTTGTCGGAATAATCATAATCCTCGCCTCCAGATGAGCTATCACTATCCAGCTTTTCAGCAGCATGTTGACTCACAGATATAACCACCAATGTTAACTTATCCCCTCCTTTTTTAATCAGGTTCACAACGTGTTTGTGTGTCGCTCCCTCCACATTTTCACCATTGCTAAGAATAAGAATGAGACTCGAAGGATCAAACAACTGCCCTCACTTTATTAAAAAAAATCTTTTAAAAAAACCTTATCTTTTCTTTAAAACCTGGTTTAAAATCTTCCTTCTGATGGCTGATTTTGGCCCGGTTTAAAGGCACCCAGTTTCTCGTGGTTTAGACCTGCCACATATCTCTTTCAAAATTCCGGGTGTAGTTACATCCTGGAGTAGCCAATAGATAAATTAAAATCAAAATCAATGGAAATTGTTAGCAATTGAGTGATTTTTATCGATTGATAATGGAAAATGGTCAAAATCTATCTAGGGTAATCTGAATCTAGTTCAGACACTGGCCCCTTCTACTCAGAGTGACTCAATTAGATAAAGTCAGAATGATCTAAAATCGTGTTTCTACCATGTAATGTCAAGGCCAACTGAAAAACTTTTTTGTAGAAATGCATGGCCATCATTCAGAGTTTTCTGATCATCCTGAAATGTTCTAAGTTAGTAGTCTTTACCTTAAACACTTCCTCTGTCCTGTGACATCTCAACACAGTTACTGTTGTAATGGCATCATCAGGCAAATATATTCTCAACTCAACTTTCATTTTACCATCTTCTGTGTCTTTCTCCTAGTGATTACAGAGAAAAGAAGAGCTTCATGTCATCAGGAGTGTCCCTGAGAGCCAGCCACCGGCTTATTTCACTGGCACAAATTGCTCTGGTAAACAATAGCATGGGGCAATTTTGAAAGAGCACTTGAGTAAAATAGTCAGCTTGACTGATAAAAAAGCCTGCTAAGCTTTTCCTTGGCTACATCCCCGCTCATTATTGTCACTTACAGAAGTTTAGGAAGGATCAAAGAACATGTTTAAATTATCCCAAACATTTAACTCTAAAGGACTACAGTTAAGAGATCCAGTTAAATAATTTTGCTTCCTCAAAATCTCAACATTGTCCCCATATACAGAGTTTGAAATATTGCCCAGTCTGTCAACGAACAATTTCCAGCCAGAAATGGCTATTGACTGGTCAAATCTTTTGAAGGCCAGTTATGTTGTCTGATCATAACTGTTAATGAACAGCACTGTACAGCGGGACAAAAAGCAAACTGATATAGTTATGTTGTTTCCAGTCGATCATAACTATGCCTAGATGTTGTAAATTTGAATTTCCCTGGCATAAAAAAGGCCGTCAAAATCAATTTTTTTCTTTATGTTAGTTTGCCTGTGCTATATTATCCTCATTTTTTTTTAAAGTTGTCCATAGTACTCAGTATTTTTGTGTAAGTTAGTTCATTTGCAGTACTAATACTTGTCATTTCAATGTTTCTCTAGGTTTGCGGAGTATCATTTTTCTGTAAAATATTACTTTTAAAATATTTGACCAGTCAAAAATGGGTCTGAGGTGAAAAATATATATCTAACCTTTTGCCATAAAACATACTGGCACATTTGTAGTGTAGTGGAGACCCAAACTTCAATCACTTTCAGGGGCGGATCCAGGATTTTTTTTAGGAGGGGGCGCACTCGTCTCTTGCTCTACTTCAACACCAATAAACCACATAGTTTTTTTTTTTTTTTTGCAGAATACAAGTTGTATTAGAAAACCGCAGGTCATCTCAGGGGGGTGGGGGGGGGGTGTGCACCCCCTGCACCCTCCCCCTAGATCCGCCCCTGACTTTTTGTTCACAATAACAGTTGTTAGTCAACATATATTAGTGGGTACTGAGAGTGTTTAATACTATTTTACCTACAGAAGGTGAAGTACATAAAAAGAGTGCAGACTACTGAGAAAATTATTCTTGGTGCATACATCTATTTTAGTCAAGTTTCACTTTTGGTGAGCATTGATATTATTGACAAGAAACAGGTTGGTGAAATCAATGAAATGCTAAAATTACCACAACATGGTTTTCAGAGGATTTCAGGAATTCTTCCATGATATCTGATTCTCCTATAATTCTCACAGAATTTACTGCAATGAAACAATGTTAGTCAGCTCATTCTCATCTATTTTATAATTCCCATGTATTTAAGATTGGTTTATGCTTAGCAAGCGTATACAGCTGTATCAAATTATGGATGCATGTGGGAAGTTTGGAGAGCATGAGAGAAAAATAAGTGTAGGTTAGTGAGTGCTCTCCAAACTTCCCAAGTGCATCCAAAACTTGATATATGCACTTCTTAAAGTATGAACCAACAATTGGTTCATACTTTAAGACGTTATTCTCTTTTACCATAGTCTGACAACCAAGTCTGATTTGTGATTGACAATGAGTGGCAAAAAAAAAAAAAAATGCTTTTATTGGATGTTTAAAAAACACCAAAATTGTCCACCCTGAAAGAGAATGTTTAATGTCAAACTGGCAGAGCTTGAGACAAAGTAAGCTTATTTAATAGTTAACAATCAATACAATGAGGACAAAAGAGTTTTCAAGCCCACATAAAGTTGAAATACGCCAATATTTCTAAGAGGGCCTGGAGTATGGTTTCAATTCTTAACAAGGTTTACATTTTGCTTACGGAAATTTAGGAAACTCTTGGTGGTTTTCTCCTAGCTAAAATGACACTACCTGCCATCTTACATCAAATTTGTTTGCAAACAATAGGTACAAGTCTAAGACATATTGGTCACAAGGCTTGCTGCAGTTTGCTATTGTAAGAACATGTACAGTATAGGCAAGACAGAGAATCATTACTGCTACAATATAGAATCATGAAGATGATAATGATGAAGTATTATTGCAAATCACCAGGTTCCAAGCCAGTTATGAGAGAGAAACTACACTGAAGCCATGCTGTGGTTTCATTTGACTTTATGCTGAATATACAAAATAGATAGCAATAATTATTTTATTTACTACTATTACCTTGTTCAAGGTAGGATTCCAGACCTTTCCTTCGAGATTCTAACTGTTGATCTGACAAATTAAATGGCCATTTTCCAGGGAACTTTGGAAACTGAAAATCTCTGAACTCCTTTTTGAGCTAAATTTAAGGTATAAAATTAACAATTAGCCCTCTACTGTTTACAGTCCACTCTGTCATAAAAGACACCTCTGTTACTGAGTTGACCCCTACCTTTCTTTACTCCCTTTATTTGAGTCTCTGTAAGACAGATATCACTCTTATAGACTGCGGGCACCTACAATAGTGCAGGTCCCAAAGGTGTATGATGTCTTAGAGAGAGTTGACTCTATATTTATTACTTTCCTTATTTTGTTTTTCGGCATGGTAATTCATGATAACTATAAGTTAAGAACTTTAGAAAAGCTCAAGAACATGCAAGATATTCTAAACTCATAATGAATTGCTGTTATAAAATTTGGAAGGTTTTAAGATAATTATTAGATGTTTACAACTTTTTGATATTATACCACACTGGCCCTGTAAGATAGTTTAACAAGTACATCCCGTAGACCATGTTAACAAATATATTTGTAAAATAATCTGTTGACATTTTAATAGTATTGAATGAACTAAATTTCTCACCTTGTTATGTAAATTTGAAAATTCTTTGTATCTTCTGGAACAAATATGCTTGTCTTCAAAATATATATTATAAACCTAAAATAATAAGAACAAAATTAATAATTTAGTACTTAATGTGCTGGAAGTGTAATTTGAAAATAAAGAAATTCGCTTGATTGCTGCTTCAGTTCAATTTACTATAGACAGTTTGTAATCCAGTGCTCTTAAGAGGTTACACAACATAGGGCTCAAAAAGACTTGAATTCCAACTTGTCTTTTGGTAAAGTAGCTCTAGTCACATTTTATGCTTGCCTGGAGCCACTTGTTACTCTTCTTAGAAAGTTACTTGCTCAGCAAGGAAATTGACTTGTTTGTGGTTTGGGAATTTTTTCGGGCCCTGAACAATAAGTTAACAGATATTTATGACTTCTTCTTGAAAAAAGTGACATATGCTGCTTGCTATCAGAGCTTGAAAAATGTCCTGTCCAGCTGTACCCTGTTTATACTCACTTGCCCTATGGGCAAATGACTAGGTCTCAGTCATTTTGTAACTACAATACATTTTATAACTGCATTGCATTTTGTAAGACCCCAAACTAACCCAAGCACAGGGCTGACCTTAGCAAGCAAAATATAAGATGTGCTTGTCGTGTCCTTGGGACAAGTGTAAAGACACTAGCATTACCTACCATGTATGTTTCACCATTACTAGTGACTTGACGCATCTCTGGTATGGATAATGGTATAACACACTTGTCGGAATAATCATAATCCTCGCCTCCAGATGAGCTATCACTATCCAGCTTTTCAGCAGCATGTTGACTCACAGATATAACCACCAATGTTAACTTATCCCCTCCTTTTTTAATCAGGTTCACAACGTGTTTGTGTGTCGCTCCCTCCACATTTTCACCATTGCTAAGAATAAGAATGAGACTCGAAGGATCAAACAACTGCCCTCACTTTATTAAAAAAAATCTTTTAAAAAAACCTTATCTTTTCTTTAAAACCTGGTTTAAAATCTTCCTTCTGATGGCTGATTTTGGCCCGGTTTAAAGGCACCCAGTTTCTCGTGGTTTAGACCTGCCACATATCTCTTTCAAAATTCCGGGTGTAGTTACATCCTGGAGTAGCCAATAGATAAATTAAAATCAAAATCAATGGAAATTGTTAGCAATTGAGTGATTTTTATCGATTGATAATGGAAAATGGTCAAAATCTATCTAGGGTAATCTGAATCTAGTTCAGACACTGGCCCCTTCAACTCGAGGGGTTGTCTGAAATTCAGGATAGGAGATCTTTATCAGGGTTATATTTCTCGTGATACTTGCCAGCAAGAACTGGATGTACTTAAACTGAACTGTTTTTGTTATTTTGAAAAAAATAACAGGTTTTAGAGAGAAACGTGTGTGTAATAGTTTCCACATTTTCATGTTTGTTGATTAGTTGTTACTCGTGGATGTGTTTTCTCAGCTGTACTATCTAACTTTTCATGTTTGTTGATTAGTTGTTACTCATAGATGTGTTTTCTCAGCTGTACTATCTAACTTTTGCCAAATACATTGAACCACAAAGGCGGACTTCCATTATAAATCGTTAAAATCATGAAAAATCGATATTTTGACACAGCAATTTAGTTTATTGATTTTCACCAATTTCCGGTATCAACAGATAAAAATCAATTGATTGCTAGCGATTTTTATTGATTGACTGCTCCAGGAATTGTTCATATTAGAAACTGGTTATGGCTTAAGTAGATCGCTGTTCTATTTTAAGCTCAAGTACAGCCACTTGAACAATCACCAAAAGAGTAACAGCAGTAGATTTCGGTGGTATTATCATACATTAATTCGATTACATTCAATTAACCTTGACCTATCGGACAGCTGCAACACCACTCCAAGTATTTTCATTACTGTATATAAATTACTTAAGAAATCTCCAGAAATCAAACAGAAAAATTGTTGGCGACAAAGTAAATATCCTGTGCCTCATTTTTATCACTCCAAATGACAGCGAAAACATCGTTAAGACAGCTGTCTAGAAAATAAGTTGTGAAACAAACAGCTAGCGTTCACTGTGTACAAGCCTTAAGTCCTCTTGTCAGAAACAAATCATTGCAACTTTCACCTTCAATTCATTTAAAGCGCAAAAATTGAAAAATCAGTATTCCGGGGAAGCACCGAACTCTTTAAAAAAGAAAGGTTTCCCTTGCAAAAATCACAACAACAAAAAAGTAAATCTTCTTACACTTCGAGGATTCTGTCTCCTATGCGAAGACCTCCACAATGAGCGGGGCCGTTCTCCGAAACGGCACTTACGTGCTGCAACGGAGCATATAATTCACCGTTTATAGACTTAAGTTGTCCCCCCTCAGACACTTGGCCACGAACGTTAAATCCAAATCCATTTTCCCCTCGGTAAAGTTCGATCAAACGCGGTCCGTATGGGTCCGCTTTTAATCTAGGTTCAGCTTCTTCTTCGTCCGCCATGTTTAATGTTGTTTCAAGTAATCACGTGACAGCAATAAAGGC